TTGGAGACAGAGCAGACACATTCCCTTCGTGTTCAGCATAGAGCCGAGTGTGTTGTGCTGTGACTGCAATTCCTTCTTTCGGATCCCTGCTCCCTCTCCACTGGGATCTGTTCTCTAAGAGCAAAGACAGCAGGCTTTCTTCCAAAAGGGAATTCTTTCTTAGCCAGGCAGCGAGGGATTTCCAGCTCTTTCTGCTTCTCACCTTTTTGTTCTGGCCAATGTGGGACTTGTCTCCCTGCTTTTGCACTATGTACAGTCACAGTGAGCTCAACGCTAAACTCACACTCTTCGGAAAATGCTCTCCCTTAGCGCACCATCTGAGAAGCTCTTCAGATCTTCCCCGTTTCCTCTTGGAAACTATCTTTTTATTGCTGTGAAGAGATACCAGGACCAAGGCAACTCTTAGTTGGGACTGGCTTACAGTTACAGAGGCTTAGTCCTTTAGTGCTCTCATAACATCAGATTCACAGCTGAGAGCCATCCTGATCCCCAGGCAGAGGTAGAAACACACCTGACTTGACATGTGCTTTTGAAACCTCAAAGCTCACACTCAGTGACACACTTCCTCCAACAAGGCCACACCTCTTTCTCTTCTTTCTTTCTGTCTTTCTTTTTTTCCCTCCCTCCCTCCCTCCCTCCCTCCCTCCCTCCCTCCCTCCCTCCCTCTCTTCCTTCCTTCCTTCCTTCCTTCCTTCCTTCCTTCCTTTCTTTCTCTTTCTTCTTTTCCCCCAAGCAGTTTCTTCTCTCTCCTCTCCTGCCAGTCCCTTCCTACTACCTCATGTCTCCCCTGTCCCCCACGGATGCCGCCTTCACTTCTCTTCGGAAAAGGGCAGGCCATGGCATATCAAGTTGCAGTCTTCTCCTACTAAGGCTGGACCTGAACAAGGGAACCCAGTAGGAGGAAAGCATCCCCAAAGCAGGCAGCAGACTCAGAGATAGCGCCTGCTCTTACTGTTAGGAGTCCCACAAGAAGAACAAGCTTCACAACTGTTATATATGTGCAGAGGGCCTAGGTCAGACCCATGCAGGCTCCCTGGTTGGTAGTTCAGGCTCTGTGAGCCCCTGTGAGTCCAAGTTAGTTGATTCTGTGGGTTTTCTTGTGGGGTCCTTTGACCCTCTGGCTTCTACAATTTTTTTCTTCCCCTCCTTGCCTCACCTTTCTGCAGGATGCCACAAGCTCCACCTAATGTCCCTCTGTGGCTCTCTGCATCTGTTTCCATCACTTGCTGGATGAAGCCTCTCTGGTGACAGCTGGGCTAGGCTGTCTGTGAGTATAGCAGAATCTGATTCCTAATGATAATTACAAATGATTCCTAGTGATAGGAATATTTTCATTGGATTTATATTTTTATTATTATTATTATTTGCCAGTCAGTCATGTTTGGTTCTGTCAGAGGATGCTGGCCTACCCATCCCCTGGTTCCTGGCCCTCCAGGCAGTGTCATGGGTGGGCAACCTCTCATGGCATGGATGGCATGGGTTTCAGCTGGAGCAGTCATTGGTTGAAGGCCACAGCTATTAATTCTTTCAAACAGTGCCAGTCCCTGGTAACAATCAACTCCATGAGCCTGTGAGGCCACCGCAGAAGCTCCACAATCACCCACCTTCTGTGCCATGCAGCTGTTTTAAGGTATGTTATATTGTTCATGTTGACAATTCATTCTTTATAGAAAACCACATTTCATTGTTTATTCCTATTTACTTCTTGCTGTGATCTTTTGTGTCTACAAAGTACCCAATATAAATTGCTTGGCTCCTTAAGTCTTAAAAATCATAATCAAATTATCTTTTTAAAGGATTTCTGAACATTCTCTTAGAGCATAATAAACAAGTAGATTGTTTAGTGTCCTTTCTTAACGTGTCTTCACATTAAAGGACTGCTACTTTTGTAATCTAGGTTAAATTCTTGTCTCAGTGGTATTGGCTACACTATTGGCAGCATATGCCTACCTGTGCTGAAAGACTCAAAATAAATTACCCAAGGTATGTCATACTGCCTGAAATGTGACTAATTATTCAGTTGAACAAGAATCTCTTTCTAAGGGGTGATTTGTTTCTCTATGGGGGAAATGAAAACTTGAATGAGGAGGCACTTACCACCCCTGTGAAATTCCTGACAAATGTCAAGGGCAGCAGACGGAAGCCAAAATTGTTGTCAGGACTGAGAGGTCTCCCCTTCTTGCTGTGTTCTATCTACAAGTCACTCAGCTTTCTGAGTTGAAGTTTTCCAGTAAAGTGGAACCTTAGCTTACACTTATATTTTAGGGTTGTTTGGGGATCAGTTTATTCTGTTGACATAATATTTTTCAAAATTTATGCTTATAAAAGGAATGTGTAAAACAAGAAAACTAGGAAGTGTGAGATATTATTTTGGTCAACCATTTACTCTCTGGCAATGGTTCATTAAAACATATTTTCTATGTAAACTTCATTTCTTGAGAGACGATTCTTATCATTAAAAGTGTTTTAAGGCAAAAACATGGTGAGAGATGTGCAGGAATGATGGGGTCTTGGAAGCTGAGGCATTTTTCAAGCACTGATAGTCTAAGATCTACAGTGTGTGTGTGTGTATGAATCTATGTCACTGAGAAATTGTTGACAAAGAATGAGTCACCTCTGGGAAAGCCATAAGATGTTGGAAATAAAAAGTGGAATTGATAGGATGAAACAAAGGAACCACATCATTCTCATGGTCTATGTTAGCAGGCAGACAATCCCAGAGGGCCAGAGTTTGGTGGCTGGTAGCATCTCATCATCTGTACTGTCTGACACAGAGCCTCCAAACTTCATGGCAGAAAGCACAGCCACAGGGCTCAAAAGTCTGTCAGGGACTGCTTCATTTGGCATTTGCTGAGGTAGTTCAGTTTGACCTAGAGGATCCATTTATTTCATTTTGAGAAAATTTACATAAAGAGGTGTTTTGCTTACATGTATGGATGCATGTCACATTTGTGCCTGGTGCCCTCAGAGGCTAGAGAGGGGTTCGACAACTCCTGGAATGGAGTTATGGGTGGTTGTGAACCACCACTGAGCCATCTCTCTAAGCCGTAGAGCAGCCATTTCTAACAGGGCTTTTCTGTGGCCAACGGATTGGTGTTAGTGATATGTGGATGGAGATCCACACATCTCCATATTAGGATGGCGCTATGAGAGAGTCGGTTGTCTCTATTCGGCTTCTCTGTGGACTCGTTCCATTTCCTTTTCCCACAGCTGTCAAAGTCCCCTTGTGACAATGAAACATGGAGGTTAAGGTTGGAAGCTGATGGTTTTGAAAGGCTGGGCTAACTTTTACTGTATTTTACAGTGTGAGTAATCAAAGAACTCTAATAGGGAGGAGGCTCAGACCCCCACCTCTCAGTGAGAAGTGTATGTCAAAGGATTTGTAGGACATTTCAAAACTACAGTTGGAGAATGAACTGGACACAACAGGTAGAAGAAAGCTTTAGATACATGAAAAAGAGAAAAATCCTTGGCGCTGATTAAAATGTTAAAAGTTAAGGTGAGAATAAAGTTGTACAAGCCTCTCAGCAGTTACGTCATAATAAAGATGGAGTATTGTCGATACAGACAGTATTCTGTTCACCACAGTTAGTCCTTTGCCCATTCACAGATTGAGTTGTCATAACCACAAGCCACATCATCATCATCAATACTAACTACTTATTATCTCCCTTAGAGGATGCTGCATTTTAAACTCAACTTTCCCAATAAAGTTTTGAGGGTACAACTACTGAACGCCTATTTTCTCCCAGTATCCGTATACTCGCAGCCTAACTCCAGGAAGGGGGCTTTGTGAGGTGTTTCGGTTTGGAGAGGGTCTCACAAACAGGAGCAGTGCTCTGACGAGGGACCCCAGAGAGCTGCCTTCACAGCTCCTCCTGTTGAGAGGCTGTAGTGAAAACTGGCAGTCAGACTCACTCTGTCAGTGCTTTGACCATCAACCCCCCAAATTACTATCAAAGTGAGAGAGAGACACACACACACACAGGGAGAGAGACAGAGAGAGACAGAGTACAGGGAGAGGGTCACCAAGAAGCTAATGGTTTTGGGGTATTGCAATAAGCCTTCGTTTTGAGCATACATTTCTAAGAGCTTCATTAGAAGGATTGAAGACAATCCTCAAAGAGTGACGAAAAACTCCGTGTTTAAACATAGTCATGACGGTACTTCAGTGAGTCTGAAGGAAAGGAACTGCATTTTACAGTGCCGGTCCCTCCTGATCAGAATGTGTCTCAGAGACTACCAAAAGACAAAAACAAAACAAAAAAAACCCCAAAATAACCCAAATGTAAAAAACAAAACAAAAGACAACCAATCAACCAACCAAAATACAAACAAAACAAAAACAAAAAAATCCAAACCAAACCACCACCACCACCAAACAAACAAAAATCAAAATAACACACAGCAAAATGCTCCTCGAAGTAATTGAAACATTTCTTTTGGGACTGCGTCCTTTTTATGGTTAAGATTCTAGGTTCTATTTTTCATTAGCGCGCGTACACACACACACACACACACACACACACCCCACCCATCCATCCCATACCTGACAGCCTCTTCCCTACTCTGGGCATATCATTGTAGTGAGGAGAAAATGAATCAGAGAGCCTCAGAGGGTTGTAGGTTGTTCAGTGGAGAGCTAACCCTACAGGCTTCGGAAACCAGATGTGTGTGGCCAGCGCACATCTGGGCAGGAGGAAAGTTTTGAGCCGCTCCTCCGAGGACTCAGGGCGTGCCCAGAGATGGCTTGGGGACTCAGAACCCAGCGCCGGGAAGCAGACACAGCGAGAAGCAAGCCTGGCTGCAGCCCCGCCTCGGGATCGCGTGGCCTCAGGGCTCTTGGCGCCCGCATCCTCTGTCCCCTCCCCACAGCTGTCTTCGGTGGTGGTGGGCGGGACCACCAGGAGCTAAGGCATTCAGGATCTGGGTTCTCAGACTCTGGGGCGCAGGCAGCCAGACCCGCCCCCCTCCCGGAGCATCCTGGCCAGTGGCTCCTGCTCTCCAGCTGCCCAGCTGTGCCTCGCTCCCCATCACAAGTTTGCCCGGAACTGGCCAAGTAGGCGAGTCTGGGATACGGACGCCGCTGGAGCCTCGGGCAGTTCTGGTTATGGCCGGGCTGGAGGCTTTACCCTACATCTGCGGGTGGCTGATTCTCAACAGCTGTCTCCTAGCCGGAGCGCAGGTAAGAGCCGGGCACTGGCTCCCGCTTCCCCCAGCCCAACATGCAAGCCCGGGCGCGCTGGCCTCCCTCCAGCCCCGAGCTGCACCTCACACACCCGCATCCCCTTTAGGCGGGAGGTCCCAGCTCGGGGCGTCAGACCAGCACCCTGGCTTCAGGGATCAGGAATGCACAGCTGGAGAGGGATAGAACTCCCTTCTTCCACGTAATCGATGGGCTACTCGCTTCAACGACCCTAGTGGTTTTTGTCCGTTGTCAGTTCGCCATCGTGTCTGGGAGCTTAAAACTTCTCAAATTGATGATGGTACGGTGTAAGAGTGTAACCGTCCCTCTCCGATACAGAAGCGCGTATTTAAGCAAAGGGGCTAGACCGCAGAAAGACCGCGTTAGATACAGCGGGGCTCTTATGTTGGGTAGCGGTGGCTGTTGAAATACTGTCGCTTGGAGGATTTTTGGGCGATATTTCATAACGTACCTCTTTAATGTGCAAGGAAAAGTTCACCCTCGCTTATTTTTCAAGTCATAGAATATGTAAGCTTCACAGTTTCATTTCATTTCATTTTGTTTTTTTTTTTCAGATGAACTAGAAAGATGTTTGCTTCTGCAGTTTGAGTCCTTTGGACTTAGAACAGATTCTAAGGTTATATTTCTCCGGTTCGGTAGAGGGCGCACGTTGACCGTCAAATAAAGATTCAGTTGGATTTAAAAAAAAAAAAATCCTTCCCTTTCTCAAAGTTAAAAGCACCCGTGAATGTGTTCCGGAGATATTTAAAACAACGTCTTTGACTTAAATGACCAACTTAAATTTTAATTACCCAGAAGATACAGTTTGAAAAAACTGATCGTCCGTAGTCATAGCCACATAAAATCAGAAGCTATTTCTAGGAAATACATGTCCTGAAAAACACTAATCTTTACTCTAGCATCATCAGGACGTTCATGGAGACTTATTCTGTTACAAAACCCAAATGAGTAGTGTGTCATACAAGAGCATTTAAAAACAGGTTCTCTTAAGTCTGAAAGAAGTACCTAAATTAACAGAAGGAATATGCATGTATGGGGGAAGGCCTTCTAGATTGGATGATGATATTCCAATAGAGTCACAGAACCCCGATGATCCCCCAGGCGCCTCCTACATTTCTGTCTAATAAGGTATTTAGATACTACGTTACTACGTGTGTAAGAGGCAGATCTGCCCTGACCATTTCTTTTACTCAGGGTTCTAGGTTTCTTTCAAGAGAGAGAGAGAGAGATTATCTAGCACAGTAACGAACTAAATCACTGTGAAATCACGAGTAGAATATTTCATTTGCCTTTTGCTTTCAATAAAGCCAGTAGGACCCCCAGCCTTGGGACAACAGCCTCTTTGGCTCACGCACCCGTTTCTTTTGGGGTTGTCTCCTGTAGTGTAGATACTCAGCAGAGGCTCTGTACTCTGCCCCACAGGGGCTAGCGGCAGCCCCTTGGTCCTCACTGTGACAGGAGCCAATAGTTGCAGATATTGCCAGAAATTTCTCCCGGTTGGGAATTATTGTTTAACACTGACTTTCAATCTCTCTCTTTCCCTCTCACCCTGTGTGTTTGTGTGTGTATGAATTCATAAACCTACAGTGTGATGACATAGTATATACTACGTTTTAAATCTTTAATGAAAAACTGTAGTTTTAAACAAGTTGCCTTTACATAGTTATACATTCTTTGACCTTTAGTTTTTCATCTTAAAAATAATTATATTGGACTATTTTTATTTTAAAAATTGGTAATGCTTGACTTATTACTTTAGTTTATGGGCATTGCATACTCTGAAATTTTATTAATTGGGACAATTATATATATATATATAATGGATATATATATATATATATATATATATACACACACACACACACATATATATTGAACCTGTAAGTGCCAAGTGATGAATATATTTCTAGCTATACATATATTTTAAAGTTATAAAATATTGAGAAAACACCAAAGAAGACTCGGTTAAAAAGAATGTACAGATATAGAATAAATGTTTAGTTGTCAATTGACATGGGATCACATCACAAAAGAGTTAACACAGACCGGTGCTCATCAGTTCTTGTAAAGAAGTAGCTTTGCCTTGAGGCCCAATTCAGTACCCATGCGTCCACACCCCTGATGTCATTGCAGAGCCCAGCAGGGCAAGTTTTAAAGCCGGATGGTCAAGTGGTAGGACCACCACATAAATACACTTTGTGTTTTCTCTGCTGCACCAGGGAGCCTCCCTGGAGACAGACTTTGAGACTGAGATAGGCGTATAAGGGGTTTGTTGAGACCAAGAGTTATGCTTGTGAAAGATGAAAGGACAAAGAACAGGAGAGCGTTCAGACATGCGATGCCGGCTGTAGATCAGACTGATGCATACTTTGTGTTCTGGGAAGTGGCTATAGAGATGGCCTGGAACCCCTGCACAGAGGTAGCCTATGGCAGTTCAGTGTCCAAGTGGCCTCCATAGTAATGGGGACAGGGACTGTCTCTGAGATGAACTGATTGGGCTGCTCTTTGATCACCTCCCCCTGAGGAGGGAGCACAGAAGACTATGCAGCCACTCCTGATGAGACCTGATAGACTAGGATCAGAGGGAAGGGGAGGAGGACCTCCCTTATCAGTGGACTGGGAGAGGAACACGGGTGGGGAAGAGGGAGGGTGGGGTTGGGAGGGGAGGACGAAAGGAGGTACAGTGGGGATACAAAGTGAATAAACTGTAATTAATAAAAATAAAAATAATTAAATAAAAAAGATCCTTGTGTCTAGAAAAAAACTCCCAGAAGTCCCTGCCATGGAAGGAAATGTGAAAACCTTGGACAGTACCTGGTGTGAGCAGAGACCAATGCGCAGACTCCACTTTCTCTGAAGAGGGCGCTAGCGGTGCTGTGGGCGTCTAACCCTGTCGGCAGTAAATCCTTGTGTACAGCCCTAGGCTTCTCCCCTTTAATTAATTGTCCCCCTCTGTGCAGTGAGGCAGGGATCCTTGATGTCTACTGACCTGCCCTGAGGATTCCGTCTCCTGGCAAGTCAAAAACCTCTGACTCCACTTACTTAGTCACTAAAGGCCCGATAATGTGCAAAGCAATTCAATCTCCCATTTAATTCCCACAATAACTCCATGAGACAGGCACTGCCATAACTTACAGTTTTGTAGGTGAGCAGAGTGAGTAGGCTAAGAGATGTCAGGGAACATCCAAATGTAGATGGCTGCCATTAAAGCACTACGGTTTACACTTTGGTTTTAGGGCTTCTATTGCCTGCCGGCCCTCATTGTGGGGTCAGGTGTCACAGCCCAGCAAATTTGTGTGCGCACACCCTCTGTCCCGGGAATGCTCATTCCTGAGGTGCAGTCCACAGAATTTCTCACCTTGATCTATAATGAGCACCCGAGGAGCAGCTTATTGGGCACAATCCAAATGTTCATACTGTGTTACCATGCGCAGCAGAAGGCAATGGGTTAAATGCCCTCTCACCAGTAAGACCGGATCACAAAGCAGGATGGGATGCGACAGAGAAGCCACAGGATCACGAGAAAATACCGTTCACGTGTGTTAAAACACATACGGTACAAAGCACTAATGCATGCCGTGTAAACATGTTCGGATAAAAGCGCATGTCTCCCACCAGCATATGGGAGTGGGAAATGAGAATGTGGACAAATCAATGCGTGTGGTCACTGTATGCCATGTACCTCAGCCTCGGGGGGCAGTTTTAAGAAACGGGACTGCACGGAGCCATCCCTGAGAGGTGGAGGGCAGCCCTGGGGTGTGGACAGCAGCTAGGACACTGTTTTTTTTTTTTTTTTTTTTTAAAGCAGAATCAAGCTAAAATGTGGCTGCTGATTATCTTCCCAATGTGCAAATTGCTGCACGCCCTGTTTTGGCCAAGCAGAGGACATTTGGTTTGTTCTTTTTCCTCCCATCCACAGCCAGGACTCTTGTCGTTTGTCTTCTAGTTACAAGGAAGCCTGGTGTGTCCCTAGTGGATTTCCCGGTGGCTGTGCTAAATCTGGGAGGTCTCTTCAGCTTCGCTAGCCCAGAGGCAGAGGAATGGAATCGAACCCAACTCAGTTCCATTGGCATTGGATCAATGTATCAAGCTATTCTTAATTTCTGAGCCCTTTTACAATTCCTTGGGACTAAGTCTATAACATTCCCAGGCAGCACGCTTACATTCTGCTTATTTTCCTGTCTCTGGCCGCAGTTGTGTTGGGCATCAGCTAGAACACAGGCATGCTTTTTCTTCTCCTCTCCACTTTTCTTTTTTTTTTTGTTACCTCTCTGGGTTAGTCTTTCTCTCTTACAGTGGCACGTCGTTTCTCCTTTGTGAGCTTCATTTCCTCCACTGTGAAATGGAGATGATAATATCATTTACGAACAGAATGTGATAGTCTTGAACTTAAAAATGTACAAACAGTAAGGAAATAAAATCTTCTTTTCTCCTGAACTGATTAGCCAAGCGCTTCTGATAGCATGGTGATTGGACTGACCTTCTTGGAAGATGCGATTGGGGGCTGCTGCAGGCTTTTGAATTGTGAATTTGGAGAATTTGTGTGGCCACTCCCTCCATCTGGACACTCTACTTTCATTCCTCATGGCTTTCTTTAGAACCTGATTTCTTTCTGATAGCAACTGGATCCTTTAACTGCATTACTTATGCCTGTTATAGAATGTGTATTGTTAAGAGTATTGATTAATATGTTAGTCAGGGTTTTCTAGAGGAACAGAACCAATGGGATGAATGCAAATATTTAATAAAGAGTTGTGGGTTGTTTTTTGTTTTTGTTGTTGTTTTGTTTTTTGAGACAGGGTTTCTCTGTGTAGCCCTGGCTGCCCTGGAACTCACTCTGTAGACCAGGTTGGCCTGGAATTCACAGAGCTCCACCTGCCTCTGACTCTTGAATGCTGGGAATAAAGACATGCACCACCACCCGGCTCTTATGGAAGAGTTTTTAAAAGTCAGCGTATGCTAACATAGCAGCAATAGCT